AAATTTAGTTAAAAAAAGTTATCAACATTATTAACCTTTTCGCTACGGCAGTGTTTTAAGCAGGAGTGACATAGCTATACGAAACAGCAAACCGCCAAGTAGAGCTACTTGGCCCAACGACGTATTTTAACCCCTTAACTAACGATTTAGATTCGAAACTGTTGACCCAAAGCAGTACAAGCTGGCGCAGCGTTTGTGGCTATTGTACCACACAGTATACAGTTTATCACAAAAATAAAAATAATTTTGTGTTTTATAGTTTCGTATAAATAAATATTTTGTAATGCTTGCGATTACCGTGCCGGGCCATGGCCGTAATGCGTACTATTTGCTCCTGGGCCTATTATCGTTCAGCCTGGACATCGTACGCGGGCTCTGCTCGTCATTGTAAGTTAAGGGGCTAAGATTTTCCAATTATTATCGATAAAATTGTATTTAACTAGTTGGTTTGGTATTTAGCCTTGAGGCAAATTACATGAACTTCCCGATATGTGTAAATAATCGACTTGATCAAAAAATGTGTAAATAATATACTTCATCAATCCTACTTTAAAAAAAAACGATAATAATTCTAGCAAAGTTTGACGAATTTTTAAAATTAAACTACTTGTTGTAAGGCCGTAGCATTACAGTAAGTTCTATAAGACCATGATGTATATTGCCAAAAAAAGTTCCATGAAAATCGGCTTCAATTTTTTTTTCAACAGTTCATTACAAGAAAACGGCTTGGTAGATTTTCACCTAAAATTAATCAGCATCATTCCCAACTAATATCTTTCGAACAGTTTTTGATTTTTTAAAATCGGTTCGGTAGGATGAGCTGAAATGTGGACGAAAATTTAACACTTTTTTTCAACATTTAATTACAAGAAAACGGCTCGGTAGATTTTCACCTAAAATTAATCAGCATCATTCCCAACTAATATCTTTCGAACAGTTTTTGATTTTTTAAAATCGGTTCGGTAGGATGAGCTTAAATGTGGACGAAAATTTAACACTTTTTTTCAACATTTAATTACAAGAAAACGGCTCGGTAGATTTTCACCTAAAATTAATCAGCATCATTCCCAACTAATATCTTTCGAACAGTTTTTGATTTTTTAATATCGGTTCGGTAGGATGAGCTTAAATGTGGACGAAAATTTAACACTTTTTTTCAACAGTTAATTACAAGAAAACGGCTCGGTAGATTTTCACCTAAAATTAATCAGCATCATTCCCAACTAATATCTTTCGAACAGTTTTTGATTTTTTAAAATCGGTTCGGTAGGATGAGCTTAAATGTGGACGAAAATTTAACACTTTTTTTCAACATTTAATTACAAGAAAACGGCTCGGTAGATTTTCACCTAAAATTAATCAGCATCATTCCCAACTAATATCTTTCGAACAGTTTTTGATTTTTTAAAATCGGTTCGGTAGGATGAGCTTAAATGTGGACGAAAAGTTCAACACTTTTTTTCAAATTACGAAGAAACGGCTTGGCAGATCGTTGCACAAAACTGACAAACGATAGTCCTCACCGAAATACATCAAATGGCTTTTAAATTTCTAAAATCGGTTCAGGCGTTTTTGAGAAAACGTCGATCAAAAGTCTAATTTTGACAAATGCCAAAAAGACCATACTGATTTTTGCAAACTTTGACGAATTTTTAAAGCTGAACCAGTTGTCGTAGGGCCGTAATATTTTAGTATGACCTAGAAGACTGTGGTATCTATCGTCAAAAAAATAATCATAAAAATTGTCAAAATTTTTTTTTTTTAAACTTTATTACAAGAAAACGGCCCGGCCGATCTTTACCAAAAACTAATCAGCACGATTCCCAACCAATATCTATCGAACGGTTTTTGAATTTTCAGAATCGATTCAGAATTGCGGGCTGAAACGTGGACGAAAAATTTTTCACTTTTCTGCAATTTACAAAGAAACGGCCCGGCCGATCGCCGCACAAAACTCAGAGACGATAGTCCTCATCGAGATACATCAAATGGCTTTTAAATTTTTGAAATCGGTCCAACCGTTTTGGAGAAAACGTCGATTTACGGCAAAAAATCTGTTCACACACACACACACACACACACATACACACACACACACACACACACACATACTTTTTCCAAATTTGGTCTCATTCGATTCAGAATGGCTCGAAACGTCGAGAAAACATAAAATTAGCGATTCGGATTTTTTGATGAAAACATAAACTTCTCCTTCGGGAAGTTAATAATTTTAGCAAAGTTTGACGAATTTTTAAAATTAAACTACTTGTTGTAAGGCCGTAATATTACAGTAAGTTCTATAACACCATGATGTATATCGCCAAAAAAAGTTCCATGAAAGAAGGATTAAATTTTTTTTTTCAACAGTTAATTACAAGAAAACGGCTCGGTAGATTTTCACCTAAAATTAATCAGTATCATTCCCAAATGATATCTTTCGAACAGTTTTTGATTTTTCAAAATCGGTTCGGTAGGATGAGCTTAAATGTGGACGAAAATTTAACACTTTTTTTCAACAGTTAATTACAAGAAAACGGCTCGGTAGATTTTCACATAAAATTAATCAGCATCATTCCCAACTAATATCTTTCGAACAGTTTTTGATTTTTTAAAATCGGTTCGGTAGGATGAGCTTAAATGTGGACGAAAGTTTAACACTTTTTTTCAACAGTTAATTACAAGAAAACGGCTCGGTAGATTTTCACCTAAAATTAATCAGCATCATTCCCAACTAATATCTTTCGAACAGTTTTTGATTTTTTAAAATCGGTTCGGTAGGATGAGCTTAAATGTGGACGAAAATTTAACACTTTTTTTCAACAGTTAATTACAAGAAAACGGCTCGGTAGATTTTCACCTAAAATTAATCAGTATCATTCCCAAATGATATCTTTCGAACAGTTTTTGATTTTTCAAAATCGGTTCGGTAGGATGAGCTTAAATGTGGACGAAAATTTAACACTTTTTTTCAACAGTTAATTACAAGAAAACGGCTCGGTAGATTTTCACCTAAAATTAATCAGTATCATTCCCAAATGATATCTTTCGAACAGTTTTTGATTTTTCAAAATCGGTTCGGTAGGATGAGCTTAAATGTGGACGAAAATTTAACACTTTTTTTCAACAGTTAATTACAAGAAAACGGCTCGGTAGATTTTCACCTAAAATTAATCAGTATCATTCCCAAATGATATCTTTCGAACAGTTTTTGATTTTTCAAAATCGGTTCGGTAGGATGAGCTTAAATGTGGACGAAAAGTTTTTTCGAATTACAAAGAAACGGCTTGGCAGATCGTTGCACAAAACTGACAAACGATAGTCCTCACCGAAATACATCAAATGGCTTTTAAATTTCTAAAATCGGTTCAGGCGTTTTTGAGAAAACGTCGATCAAAAGTCTAATTTTGACAAATGCCAAAAAGACCATACTGATTTTTGCAAACTTTGACTAATTTTTAAAGCTGAACCAGTTGTCGTAGGGCCGTAATATTTTAGTATGACCTAGAAAACTATGGTATCTTTCGTCAAAAAAATAATCATAAAAATCGTCAAAATTTTTTTTTAAAAACTTTATTACAAGAAAACGGCCCGGCCGATCTTAACCAAAAACTAATCAGCACGATTCCCAACCAATATCTATCGAACGGTTTTTGAATTTTCAGAATCGATTCAGAATTGCGGGCTAAAACGTGGACGAAAAATTTTTCACTTTTCTGCAATTTACAAAGAAACGGCTTGGCCGATCGCCGCACAAAACTCAGAGACGATTGTCCTCATCGAGATACATCAAATGGCTTTTAAATTTTTGAAATCGGTCCAACCGTTTTGGAGAAAACGTCGATTTACGGCAAAAAATCTGTTCACACACACACACACACACATACACACACACACACACACACATACTTTTTCCAAATTTGGTCTCATTCGATTCAGAATGGCTCGAAACGTCGAGAAAACATAAAATTAGCGATTCGGATTTTTTGATGAAAACATAAACTTCTCCTTCAGGAAGTTAAAAATTGAAAATTACACTTCTAAACTAGTGGGGCGCATGGCATCGTGCCTTAAGGCAAATTGCTGGTACTTCCCGTACCAAAATTTTTTTTTTTTTTTTTAAAAAGATTAACATTTTTGAAAAAAATTTACTCTGAAAAAATTAGATTTTTGAGAAACTATAAATTTTTGACAAAAATTTATTTTTTTTGAAAAAAAAAAAGACTTTTTGAAAAAAAAATTATTTCGAAATATTTTGGAAATTCTGAACTTTTTTTTCAAAGCAATCGCAATGCTTTAACTGCATAGAGACAAAATATCAAAGCGCGTAAGCGCTGCGTCGCCATCTAACGGATAAACATTGGTACGAAACCCATAGGAATGTAAAGTAAATTTATACTTATTGTTAAAATCTCAATGAAATATCTGATAATTTTATGTGCATATGTATAATGATCATTTTTGACCGCCAAATGGCATTTTTTTAAATTTTTTTTACTAGATCTCCGAAACCGCTAGACCTGTCTTCATGAAAATTTGATCAATTCTTCATCTTGTCAATACAAGTAAAATGTTTTTTGAAACGTAAAGATTATAAAAATTTTCATTTTCGATTTTTTTGCAGAAACTATAACTTGCCCTACGGGAAGTTAACAATTGAGAATTGTTGCAATCAAAAACGAATTAGAATTTTCTTGAAGCACGACATACAAAATGTCGTACGCACAGGTCGTTTATAGGCGACACACGTACGCATAGGTAGCCATGCTGACGCTCGTAGAGAGAGGTTAAACCCTGAAGGTTAATAGTTTATTTATAAATTAAATTTTTTGTAAGAGATAGTGCATTCTGCATCTGGTGGTATAAAAAGTTTAGTTCAAGTGAACGATTTAAATTTAGTTTGCTGAATATCAACGTAAAATATCGTTTTCTATAGCATTACAAATGATCTAATTATGACGATTTTGATATAAGTGTTATTTAATATTAATTATTAAACCAACCTTTGCTAAAACTTCAACTATTTCTAGAGACCATTGCTGCGAATATCGCACTTTGTTGCTTAGAGTCGCGCGAACTTCAGCCACGGAGTCAACGGAATGGATGTCAAAAGGCCTGAAACCACTCAGCAGCTCGTAACAAACTACTCCTAATGACCACCAGTCTACAGGATAGCTAGAAAAGTTATATCCAAGTTAGCCCAATGAGGGTCATAAAATTTTAACTCAATCTATATATATATATATATATATATATATATATATATATATATATATATATAGAATAAAACAGAGTTATAAATTAAACTTCTAGTTCTTGATATGATACCTGATACAACAAGTATCAATACAATATAGAAATAAATTATTGGCGCCTTGGTATATTTCGAACTTTTGCCTACATAAGGATTTGAAAATCTATACAGTCAACGAAATTATCAAAATTAGAAGTTCATCTTTCAACACGATTCACAGACCGTTAAGGGGGTATTCTAATGTAGAAATTCAAGAAAATCGATTTTTTCTTTATTTCATATTTTCAAAGTTTAACTATCTAAGAATATGGGTACGAGAAGGTTTTTGAAAATTTGAATTATTTTCGGAGATACAGACATTTTACTGATTCGGTTCCCAAACTGGATTGGCAAAGTCTAATCGGACAAAAGGCATTAGGAAGTCATTAGATCAATTTAAGACAGTTTATCATCAGATGAATTATAAATTCGATGTATAGCTTCAGAAACTCAGAACAATAATGAATCTCTAAGCTGGTTGATTTGGATTTTCGCGCCGAAACATTTATTTATTGCATTTATTTATTACTGTTTGTATATTCAATAAAGGTTTCTTTGCGATTTTAAAAATGATGACCCTTATGGTAATGTAAATTGGGCCAGAAACTCGTTCATTTGCTGTAAGACGATACAACGCCCGGTTTGAACGATCTGAAATACGTGCATCCAACGCTTCAAAGGAGGATAGAACAGCTCGATTTGAAGAGAGAAATGCAGAAAATAGTTTTTTTGAAGCAGAAGAAGATCCGATGCATGAAGCAGGAATGGCAGATTAAATAAAAGAAGTATAACATATCATTTTATGACTTTGACAGCAAAAAACTTCACGCAAAACTTTAAAAGCGTTTTTCTCTGAACAGACTTTTTCAGTACTGTTGACGCGATTTCTCGAGTTCTACTCGACCGATTTACTTGAAATGTTCAGAGAGTCTTGTTTATAGACCTATCTATAGCCCGAACTAGGATTATCCCCAAATTCCAATTTTTACTATTTTTAAAAATTCGAGAAACTCAAAAAACAGAAAAAAACACTTTTTTTTCAAACAGTCGCCAATTTGTAAAAAAAATTTACTTATTGCTAGTTCGGGCGATTGCGACATCATTGTAGATTAATAATTTTTATTTTTTTTATTTCTTTGATTTCGGATAGCTAGGAAGGCTGAAATCATGTCAAGGCTGAGGTGCCCATTTTTTAAGACCTCCCACTTCATCAGCCAGTGTCTTAAATTTTCAACTTTTTTTAAATTTTTTTTATTGTATTTCAATAATATTAATAAACAAGTGGTAAAAAATGGATAGTAAAAACATTCATTACTTTCTTTTATGACACTTTAAAAATGACCTAAAATTCATCGCTCTACACTAGAATACCCCCTTAAGGGGGGCGATACATGTAACAAGAAAAAAAAAATCGTTTTTTTTTTCATAAATCGTTACAATAACATCTCAAAAATATGCCTGTAAATATTCAGAACAAAATTATCATTATTTATACAATAAAAACTCATTTAAGTGCCACGCCTCAACTCGACGCTTGAGTGCTATTGTACTCTTATCTGTTTCTGTGTCAAAACTTTAAACGCGTTTTTCTCAAAACGACATTTTTGAAATTTGCGGGCGCGATAACTCAAAAAGTTCTCAACCGATTCCAATGAAATTTTGCACACATCTACTTTACAGTAATAGCTTCTAGTTAAACCTCAAACATTCAAAATTTTTTTCAAAAATTAACCTTTTTACCAAAAAAAAAACATTGAAAAAAAGGTGAAAAATCAAACTTTTTTTTCTAAGGTGTGCCAATTTATGATTTTAGAAGATAACTAGAAGATATATGTTTTATGAACACGTACATACTAATTTTTTTAAATTCAGATCACCGTACGAAAAGTGAGAACGCCCGCAAATTGATGGCGTTTTCCGAGAGGGTCTTGGCAGATTTATTTTTACGGCAGCCATTTAAAAAAAAAAATTAAAAAATTTTTTTTTTTGTGTATTCTAATATATAATAAATAACCCTAAAAAAGTTCAAAAAGATTCAATCATTCCTTCCCAGTTTAAAAAGTCCTCAAAAAATGGTAAAAATTAAGGCGATTACATGTATCGCCCCCCTTAAGAAGACTAAGCAAGAAATAGCCATCCGACCTACCAAACACCTAGCCCAATGTCTGCACCCGCCCTGACTTAGTACGCGGCATACATCATCACGCCACAGTTCATTTATGATATTGTTTTTGTATTACTGTTTTTATTTTATTTTATTTTAACTTTTTTTCTTTTATATTCAATTTATAGTATTTTTTGTAGTATTTTTTGCACCTATCAATTTTGTAAGTAAGACATTAAAGTCTTGATTACTAATCAAAAAATCTGGCGTCGTGTGCAACGGGTTTTAGTAATACGCTATATATACAGAATAATTGAATTCGCTGATCTATACAGTTCAAATTTATCAAATTCATCTGATGTTGCTACGAGACAACTTATGCATTTTGTTGACTTACAGATTCAAATAACATAATTCAAATTGTATTGGGCACTGATTGTGAATATGTTTACCTGAGGGTATACAAACTCAATTACCGAGGGATTCAGTTACCTGTACCCAATGCAATCTCCGGCTGCGCAAGCAAATATCTCAGGTGCCATATAAGGTTTGGTACCGGACATACTAATCGCTAATTCATCCTTTTGCAAGGACGTCGCAATATTGAAGTCCGTCAAATGGGCATGACCTGTAATAATAAATATATCAACTTTGCATTATACGGACCATCTAAATATTTACTGCTTTAAATAGACTTAATATTGATTATTTTCTTATTCCCTATTTATTTCACACTATATGGTTTCTTGTCTAAAATTTGCACAAATAATTCACAAAAACTTATGATCAAAAGCTTCATGAACTACTATAAAAAAATATTTTTCATGAATAAATTATAACATTTATTAGTTAACCCTTTCCGGCCAACACCGATTCAAAAACATTCTACTACCAACTCGGTGCCGCATTCTTTCAAAAACGTACCTACTGTAAACCTGATATTAGTGTGTATGCTATGCAATTTGTTTCGTACGATTTTTTTGGAATTGAAGAACCAATATTTACAATAACAGCTAAATTTATTTAGATCATATATAAGAATATAATTCAAGATTAACGACTATCAAATATATACCAGAGAAAAATAGGTAATGAATGCCTATAAATATTTATATTGAATACATACCATCTTCGTCTAGAAGTATATTATCCGGTTTCAAGTCCCTGCAAAAAAAACTTTATTAATTTTATTAAACAAAGTTATGTTATTTCAATAAAAACATTTTGTTTAACTTAGAATATCAAATTAAAACTTTGCGGCAAACTACAAAATTTTAAGTTTCAAATTATAACTTTTCACGTGGTAAGATAAACTTGGCGGTGTAATCAAAACTATTAATTTCTAAAAGTTCAAAGTGCTGACATTGATAAATGATCGAATACTGTAGTTTTGAAACACCGTTTCATAAGTTTTCAAACTAAATTGTAATAAAATTATTTTCTTGTAATAGTTTCGTGATAATATAACAACGTAGAATCTTATACCAATTACTAAGTTCATCAGTATTAATAAAAATTAATTTCTATTTGCTAATGCAATGGTAATAATCTTAATAAGAATATGCTCAAATATGCACTAACATCGCCCAAATTTTTTAATTCAATTACTATAGATACATGAAGTGTAAACTTTAGATTTCAATAAGTAAGTTAATATATAAAGGTCCATCACAAAAATAAGTAAAGTATTGATTTTTTTAAAGATACTATTTTAAAGTAGAAGGCAAAATATGTGTAATCATCTATCACCTTAACTCCTACGACGTCACTATCAGGAGATAAATGGCAGTGTTTTATAACAAAAGTATTTTCTTTCGTTGGTAGTTTTTTGGTTTTGAGCTCTTTCAATTAGTTTATGATATCCGAATATAATTTTTAAGCATACGTTATTGTTTTATAAGATGTATTGTTACTAAGTTTGTTATAACAGTTTTTTTATATTGCCTCTAAAATAGCTTAGATGTGGTTAGTGAAAAAAACTAGCTGTAAGTGGAATTCTGTCTTAAGGCAATTAGGGCATCGTGCCTTAAGGCAAATTGCTGGAACTTCCCGTACCAAAAATTATTATTTTTTCAAAAACGAATAACATTTTTGAAAAAAATTTACTTCGAAAAAAATAGATTTTTGAGAAACTATAAATTTGACAAAAAATTACTTTTTTTTAAAAAAAAAATTTTTATTTGAAAAAAAAAAATTTTTTTTTTGAGAAAAAAATTTTTTTTTTAAAACAATAAAATTTTTTGAAAAAAAATGTTTTCTTCATTTTGACATATTTTGGAAATTCTGAACTTTTTTTCAAAGCAATCGCACTGCTTGAACTGCATAGAGACGAAATGTCAAAGCTCGCAAGTGCCGCGCCGCCATCTAACGCATAAGCATTGGTACGGAACCCATAGAAATGTAAAAAAAATTATAAATTTTTGTTAAAATCTCTATAAAATATCTGATAATTTGATGTGCATATGTCTAATGATCATTTTTAACCGCCGAATGGCATTTTTTTTTACTTTTTTCATTAGATCTCCGAAACCGCTAGACCTGCCTTCATGAAAATTAGATCAAATCTACATCTTGTCAATACAAGTAAAATATTTTTTGAATTTTTCAAATCGGACGCTCCGTTCTCTTAAAAACTGAGTTACCGTTTTCGGCACTTTTTGCCCCGTATCTTCGGAACGGCTAGACCTGCCTTCGCCAAAAACTAATCAGCACGTCTCCTTATCAATACGAATCGAATGTTTTTTGAATTATTCAGATCGGTTGATCGGTGTTCCCGAAATCGTCGACGAAAATTTGTATCCGCACATACATACACACACGTACATACATACACACACACATACACACACATACACACACATACACACACACACACACACACACATACATCCATTTTTTCTAAGGTATGCCAAAATGTTCAGAAACCTCTGAAACGTAAAGATATATAAAAAATTTCATTTTCGATTTTTTTGCGATTACTATAACTTGCCCTACGGGAAGTTAAAAACTTACACTGGCAAAGCTGCAAACAATAAGAAACAGTGTTATCTTTGTAAAAAATGTAATGTTTTACCGCCTATGGGGTAAAACAAACCAGGTGACATTTTTTGGAAAACAACAAAAAATTGCAGTTTACTTTGATATATGAAAAGAATTACTTAGCACGATGTTAATTTTCTCAAAAAGAATAAATTATCAGAGGTATTATTGTTGTTTTTTTATAGTTAATATTTGTCCTGGTAAATGTTACAACTAGCCCCAAACATGGGGTAAGTTGTACCACAATTTTTTTTTTCAGAATAGTTATAGAATTATTTATGTTGGATTTGGTAGAGGAATAATTATAGCATCTATTCACCTTTATTTTATAGAAATATAATCAGTAGATCTCAATATATACTAATTTAAAAAAAAACTGTTATAACAAGCCCCTAGTTCCCCTACCTAGAATTTTGATATGTCCATCAAGGTCTTATGTGAACTAATGTAATTATAAATCTATTAAGTAGAATAGATGTATGGCATGTTGTGATATTGATTGATAGTGAAATGTGAAGTTATTGTGTAATTGAGTTATGATCTCGCAAAGCCTTAGAGTAATTTAATAAAGCGCCGTAACGCATAGTACGTAAAGTGGATAACGTCTCTATTTATAGTTTTAACAACTGTTCATCTTGAAAACTTTGATTGAATTAAAAGTAAGTTAGAACATTAAAGTAGAAGTTATATTTAGCGTTACTTTAACAAAATGTTGTTACGAACCTTTCAGATACGATATGAAAATCGGATTTCGAACAAAGTTTTTAGAGCTTGTTATAGACACCGCTTAGTGTAATTTTAGCTTTTTTGCGCTGGCGTAATTGCTTGTACTATTATAAGTTAACAATTGAACCATTTTTTTTATGAAAGTGGCATTAATCAGTTTTTTTTAAATAAAAGAGGAACTAAGTTCATGGTATATTATGGGCTCTAAACAACTTATTTATATGGTTAAAATAAAATACTGTTCCCCGCACAAATATTGAAACATAGAAGTTTAATAAACCAGAACGAGATTATTGAATTTAGTATACTTTTTATAAATAGAAAATAAGAATAAATACACGAGCAAAGCTCATAGAATTAGCGCACACCACTGGACAAATGTTACGTTATAGTAAAACAAACTTTTATGCAAAAAATAAAAATATCAAGAACAACCCTTAAGTTATAAATAAAGTAAAGCTGGCTTCTATTGCAGGTAAGTTGAAAAAGGTTAAGTGATATGATACATACTAAAGATTCAAGTTCAAACAATTTGTTCACAAGGGTTATTAGCAAAAGCTGTCTCGAAAAGGGTTTGTGAGAAAAAATATGATCAGAAAAGGCTACAACACGACAACAAATGATAGAGATTTGACTTATAGTTGGAACAAGGACAAATGCTGCAAAATGATATTATTTGTGTAGATTTGGGTTTTCGCATAGAGTAGTTAGAGCTTTGGTATTTCAATCAGAATTTACAGGTTAGACACCCGTGACATCGATTTCACTTGGAAAAAGAGATAACAATATGTTGAAATAGTCCTTGTCCGGAATTGTAGCACCAATAAAAACTTCATTACTTTTACAGAAATTGTAATAATAACTAGTGATGGCGTCGTGCCTTAAGGTGAATTACTAGAAAAATTACTTATAGAAATTTTTGATAATTAAAAAAAAACGAATTTTGAGAACTTCGAAATTTATGAAAAACATTGACTGTATTGAAAAATTTGATTTATTCTAGAGATGAAATATCGAAGCGCGTAAGCGCCGCGTTGCAGTTGAACAGTTAAACATTATAAAATTTGGTAGGGAACCCATTGAAATGTAAACAAAATTATTACTTATTACTGCAATCTCTGTAAAATATTCGATAATTTGATGCTTATAATAATCATTTTTAATCGCCAAGTGTTTTTTTTTTAATTTTTTTATTGGTTCTCCAAAACCGTTGGACCTGCTTCACCAAAAAAATTCAATTCTTTATTTTGTCAATACAAGTGAAATGTTTTTTGAATCGTTGAAATCGGACCGTTTTCTCAAAAACTGAATTACCATTTTTGGCGTTTTTTGTCCCGTATCTTCAATACGGCTTTGTCAAAAACTAATCAGGACATTTCTGTCGATCTGTGTTCTTAAAATCGTCGACAAAAAATTGTATCCATATATACATACATATTACTCACAAAGACACACATCCATATTTTCTAAGGTATGCCAAAATCTTCAGAAACCTTTGAAACGTAAAGATACACAAAAATTTTCATTTTCAATTTTATTGCAATCACTATAACTTACCCTACGTACAATTAAAATTGTATCACGAAGATACAATGTTAAGTCTTTTCAAAGCGACGTAGTTAAGTGAAATCATCATCAAGGGTTCTAATCATCGTTGTTATTAAAAAAACATTATGATTTATTAGAGCAATGGAATGTTTTGAACAATTGCTACAAATGAATAAAAGCTAATAGCATAAGAAGAAAATGCAGCCACTTACAAAAATGATATTACTAAAACACAAAGGAAAGATTAACGTTACATTTTCTGAAATTTATATGAAACTTCTAATAACTTCAATTTTATTAAAACAGACATAAAATGTAATAAATAAATAAATTGTACAATGCCAGAGCAAAACAAGACACTTCCAGAGAAACTCTTATTAAAAAATATACATGAATATTAAAAACATAGTATAAATTTTACAGTTGAAGCAAAAGCTTATTGCCCTGTCTTTTTGAATCAGACGAGAACGGAATTCGTTCAATGGAATTCTTTGATCTTATTTTTAAAGCAGTCTGCGAAATAATCTCAGGAAATGATATTCCAATGTCTACGTACTCTCTCTGCATACGCGTGGCATTTAATTTGAGTAAGCGGTGAAAACTCAATGTCAATCGCTGTAATAAGGTGACATAAAAGACGATGTTTGGGAATGATTGTCAATCGATATTTCCATTTTGACATAATGATTAAAAGAACCTTTTGCATTAAAATCACTAAGCGGTTTCATAAGATAGAATCAATACTTTTTCAGTTGTATTACTCATGTATTCTCTTGATAAATAATGAGACATTGCGATTTGAGCGTGATGCGTGAACGTATTAGTATATTTTTATTTTCCAGTTGTTTTTT